ATGCTGCCAAGGTCCCAGGGTTAGGGAGGGAGCACTGGCCAGGATTTGGGACAGTGCACCATGTCCTGCATCAGATAGGAGATGATCCTGGAGGGAAACAGCACAAAGCAACTCTGAGCGGGGGGAGGAGTGCTGGGATTTCCCTGGTTCTTCTTTTCCTGTTCCCTCTTTTCTTTTTGCATGTGTCTTGCCACAGATAACTGAGCTTGTGCCCTCATCCTTCACACGTGCCTGGGCTTCCTTTTGCTGTTGTATCTGAGCTGCATCATGGCATAGAGAGAGAGAACTGCTCCATGTGCTCCACTGATTTATTTCTTTGGACTTGGTCCTGTATTTCCCAGTGAAGAAAAGGACAAGGTCACCCTGCTGCCAGCTGGCTCACACGTGTGCTTGCTGTGCATTGCTCATGGGCAGCACCGTGTTCCTGCACACTTAATGGATGCTGGAATGGTTCAGATCAAGGGGCAAGAGGAGCTGGGATACACCACAGATAGAGTCAGGTGCACTGCAAAGAGAAGAGACACTGGGGTGTTAGTTTAAAACCTGAATAAATATTTGCAGCGATTAAACTTCGTAAGTTGGTGCTTCTGATGCTCATATTCACTTGCAGTATTGACCACTGGATCTGAGGTTGTCCTTCAGCTGATGGAAGTATGAGAAGCCTGAGCCCTGGTTTCCCCCAGAGCAGGGAAGAGAACACAGTTCTAATGAGTAATTACAAGATTTGTCACCCTGAAGAGTGAGATGTTTATCTGATGGTGCTGTCAGCTCAAAGCCCAACTCGCAGCTGCCTGGTGGGGACCTGAGGACCAGCAGGCAGCAGATGGTGCTGTGATGCTGCTCTGTGCACAGCTCAGACGTGCTCAGAAAGACCTGGCTGGGAAACCCTGCATCGCTCCTTGGGAATCTCTGCCAATTCCTGTGTTCCCACACTACCACGAACTTGCTCCTGTTCTGTTCCTGGAGTTTAACTTGACATCATTCTTGATGGGGATTCAAAAATTGCAAGCGCTGTATTCCGAGAAGTGATTATTGCACGCACAGCTCAGTCCCGTGAGTATGAGCTAGCTCCCCAAACTACGAAAAAAAATCCTCTAATGGTTCTGACACCTCATTGTCATTGTCAGACTGTGGAAATGGCCTGAGTGGATTCCAGCCATGACTGCCAGGAGCATGTGGGACCCCACGGCTCCTGTGCTATGTGATATTTTTATTAACGCTATCTGTAACAAGCATTGGCCTGTTCAATTTGCAGAGCGTGGAAGAATCGTGGTGTGTAGTGCAGAGAGGGTGAGAGAGGCCTGAGAACAGTCTACAAGGGTCACTGAACAATTTCAGCCTTTGTTTTCATGCTGGAAGGGACACGATGTTCTGGCCTCAAACTAGAGAAAAAAAAATGGAAGAAAAATGCTGCAGCAGTGAGGAAGTGCTGGGAGATCACCTGGAGTGTGAGGAATTCTGTTCCTAGAATGAGTGGTGAATGCTGAACTTCTGTGTGGAGGTTGATGACTCTCCCCGGCCCTGTTTTCTGCATTTCTCTGAAAAACCACTTGCTCTTACCCCAAGAGCCTCTCCCTCCCCTCATAGAAAGCTGAGATGGGAAGCTGTTACTCTTGCTCACCCAGGGGTGAGCTGTGGGAGTGAGCAAATGCTGTTCAGTCCTTAGAGACAGCACACCCTCTCCTGGGACCTGTTTCTTGAAGACCAGCCACTTCATATTCCACTCACCCAGATGATCCAGGGTTGACCTGGCTCTGGAAGGTGGACACCACTGCCCATGTGGATCATCCCTGAGTCATCTTGACCTTTTCCTCCCTCTGCTGCTGCTGCTGTTAAGGATTCCACCTACCAGCAGCAGGATGAGTCCACATCTTGCCTTCACAGACTGCTGTTGCAGAATTGCACACAAGGCCAGCTCCTTCCTCTTTCTCCTTGCAGACAGGCTGTCATCCCCGTGTCTGTGTTGCTCCTTTGCTTCTCTCCAGCCTCGTGCCCTCTGAGCCAGCGAGGTCTGTTGGCCCTTGTGCCCAAGATATTTGTTCTCTTTTGCTGGAGGGAGCTGCCAGCTGCAGTGTCCTTCCCAGAGCATCCCTGGCGCTCGTGCTCCAACCTCAGGAGTGTGGATGGAGCTCTAGGCTGGCACCCTGAGTTTGTTATTGTCACATGTGCTCCCAGCCTGCTGCTCTAGGCGTTGGGGACTGTGGTGGGGACGCAGTCCTGGCATGGGGACAGCTGTGCTGAGTCCTTGGTGGCAAAAATCACAGGTCAAGCTGTTTTTTTTTTCACACAGCTCTATGGGCAAAAGACGGGCCCAGGTGCAAGACTCAGCTCTGGTTTGTTATTTCTGGTTCTCTGCACTCTCTGGACTCTTTTTCCACCTTCCTGCAAGGCATTTTTAGGAGTAGCAGGGTCAGCTTTTTGAAGGGCCTCTGGGCACAGAGGGGAGCCCACCCTGGGACTGCACTGAGGCATTTAGCCCAGGGTAGGAAGCAGATTTCACACCAAAAAGCTCTTTGAATCAAGAGTGATACCCCTCCTGGGAGGAGGAGGCTTTGTCACGCTGAATTACACCCAGCAGGGTTCAGACATGGAGTCTGCAGGAAGGAACTGGCTCTTAAAAGGATGGGAAAGGGCTAATGGTGGCCATTACCTCCGGGTTTGGCCCTAAAAGCAAAGCAGAGGTGTGGCAGTAGGTTACCTGCCAGAGCCATCATCCAGAGTGCTCTCACTGAGGAATTCACAGAAGGAAAAATCAGTCCCTTTCAGCTGAAAAGTGGGAGAGAATGTCCAAAGAGCCAGCTTTGTGGCTGGGCTGTGGAAGTGGGGGATGCTGTGGGTGTTGGGGTTTCCAGACCTGGGGGGATAGAAGAGAGGGATCATTAAGTAATCATCCCTATAAGTGTGAGTCAGTCCTACATCCTGTGGTCAAAAAGGAAAGGGGTACAAACTGACCCCAAAATTAATCTGGTACCAGTAAATTCGAAAGGGAAATTCCAGAGAAAGAGGAAGTCAATAGAAAAAGCCTGAAAATTTAAGATAGTGTTATAAAAATCTTTTAGCTCAGCAGTGAGGAAGCCCAGGAAGCTCTGAAGGACTTGCAGGAGGTGATCAGAGAGAAGTATGTGGAGGAAACTGAAACCCGAGAAATTGAAACCCCTGATGATCCCAAAGGAGATTTGTTGTGCTTAGGCACGACAGAGATGTTGACGTGCTCCTGGGGATGTGGCAGCAAGGCTGGAATGCTGGGATGGGTGGTAGCTGGGATGGGCACATACAGGGAATGTGAAGAGTAAAGTGTTAGTTGTAAACATTTAGTTTGTTGTGAAATGAAATTCATTCCTGGGGAGCTGGAGCAGCAAGAGGTCAGTTTAGGAGATTGGGGTATCTGCACTACCAGAGACTCTGCCTCAGCCCTGCTCTTTCAGGGCAGAGAAAGAGGGGCTGTTAGAGATGGAAGTGCCCAAAAAGGAAACTCTGGAGGAGATTTGGAAGAAGTGCTATTGTTCGATGATTTCAGACTGAATGGTGGAGCTGAGCTGGCCAGAGAAGTTTCAGAGGGAAGCAGTTGATCACATACTAAAAAACCACAACCACTGAAACCACCTGCAGTCCTGGAGGGGAGCAAGTGGATCTGGTGCTTGTCCTGGGAATGGGAGCAGGCAGCTGCCACCTGCCCAGGCCCACAGGGCTCCCAAACTGGCATGGCCATTGCTGCTCTCCCTTGTTCCCAGCAGCATAATCACACATGCTCTGCTGACTCGAATCCCTCCTCCGTTACTCCAGCCCTCAAGGTCATTATAATCTTTCTCTGTGATATCCTGGCCTGTTCTGGATTGATGATGCCATCTCGTTTTGCCGCATCAGCACATTTCCTTTGCCTTCTCCTGCTTTTTGTGCCAAGATCATTAAGGCAAATGTTAAGCAGAGTAATTTTTGAGGCAGAAACTCGAGGAACTGTGTGGGTAACCCCCCTTCCAGCTGAAGCAATTACCCTGCTCCTTTCAGGCAGCTCTTCACCAAATTTACTTTTCAAATGCCAGTCACATCTTCTCTGCCTTATCTAATAATTTACTATGTGGCATCATTTCAAGTGCCTTCCTGAAGCTCAGACAAGAGAGATCTACTGAATTTCCTTCATCACAAATATCTCTGAACTTATAAAAGGAAGCTATTAGATTAATGTTGGTGTGCGTCAGGATATTTAAACTATGTCAAGATAATAAATTAAAATAAAGATAGTATCAGCTATGTTGATTCTTTTCATGGATTTTTGATTTTTTGGGGGGGATATTTGATGATGGATTCAGTACGAGAATAATGTTGATAGCGCAGTGATGTTTTAGTTGTTCTTAAGTAGTGTTTACCCTGGCCAGGGACTTGAGGAGCTGCACAAAAAACTGTGAGAGAGAGTATAGTTGGGACAACTGACCTGAGCTGGCCAAAGGGATATTCCACCCTATAAAACATCATGCCCAGAAGGGCCAGGGGAAATTTGGGGTTTGGCATCAGTCATCACCTGCTGAGCAGCTGCACTGTGCATCGCTTGTTCTTCTTGCATTTTCTCTCTCTTTTAAATGACTATTATTATTATATTTTACTTTGTTTCAATTAGTAAACCATTTTTATCTCAACTCACAAGTGTTGCTCTTGATTCTACTTGCCATCCCACCAGGGTGGGGGGAAGTGGATGAATGGCTGAACCCAGTGGCCAGTTGGGCTTAGAACACCACAGCACCACTCAGGGACCTGGATGAATTGTCACCCCCATCCCACATGTCCTTCTGCTGGAAGCACCAGCAGGACCAGACTCTTTGCCTCATCATCCTGTGGGTCCCTTCTCCCACATCAGGCCTCCAGCAGGGAGGCATCAAAACGGACTCTTCATTAACAGACACGCTGATATATTTGAAATTATCTTTATTTTAGTGTATTATTTCGACATAATATAAATTATTTTTGTGCCTTTTTTTTTTTTTTAGAAAAACATTATTTAATTTAACTTAAATAAGTTAAATAAAACAATTTTTCCCCTTGAAGGAGGCTGCAGGTCAAGGGCTCTCGCGTGTGTGCCTGAGGCTGGAGGCCACGCAGGGGTGGGACCGTGGGCATTGCGGGTGGCAGCGAGGAAGGGTCAGTTCTTTGGGGTCTGGAAGTGCTTCAGGCGCTCCTGCACCCAGGGCTCCTGGGGATTCACACACAGCTGCTTCCCCTTCTTGGTGACCACTCTGCCAGGAGAACAAACCCCTGTTAAGGTGCTGCGCTGAGGCCACGAGGTGCCCCCGCTGGGTTCCACCAGCACACCCTAAGTGTCCCCAGCCACGTTCCCAGGTCCCTCCTGGCCACCCCGAGCCCCTGGCAGTGGTGGGTACTCACATCACCCCCGGGTTGATGCAACTGCTGCTGGTGACGAAGGTGGAGTTGATGAGGCGAAGAGGGATGGGACGCTGTTGGTAGGTGAAGCAGCAGGTGATGGGGATGCCGTCTGTGAGGGCAGAGGGACAGACAGACAGCACAGGTGAGACCCCAGCTACAGCACAGGCTCTGACCCCACTGGCACGTGGTGTTCCCCAAGGATTTGCCATCTCTCACCCTCCCCTTGTGTCCTATTCCCTGGCAGTGGCTCTCCAGGAGAACCCTGCCCTCAAACCCTCCATCCCACACTGTGACAGAGTCTCCTGCCCTCAAACCCTCCATCCCACACTGTGACAGAGTCTCCTGCCCCCAACCCTCCATCCCACACTGTGACAGTCTCCTGCCCCCAACCCTCCCCACAGCCCCACGAGGGTCCTGCTGACAGGGCTGGGGCTCTCCAGCAGCTCCCGTGGAGCGATGTCCCCCTCCAGCCCCGGGAGAATTCAGCGACTCCGGACTCACCGAAATGGGCCTCGGACGGGGAGCGGGAGGCCACGAGGAGCAGGGCGAGCAGGGTGGCTGCCAGGACCTTCATGGTGCTGTGGGGCCGAGGGCTCTGTGAGCAGGGCTGGAGCTGGGGAGGCTGCAGGGCTCTCTCTGCACGATGCTCCTCCGCTGTGGCCATGCCCTCCTTTTATCCCCCGGGCGCTGGGCGGGCGCAGGGTTTCAAGGAAAGAAAGTGAGTGCATCATACTGGGGAAATTATGTCAGGATCGGCCAGTTTTGCTGAGCTGGAAAAGGAAAGGAAACCGCAGAAGGGGAAGGGACTGCTGGCCACGAGGCTGCAACTTTCAAGATGCTCCTCGGGTGCCTGGTGGGGGACTGGTTGGAGCCCAAATGCCAACAGTGACTCTGCCACTGCTGCAAGGGCTGCACAGGCCATGGGGCAGCTTGGGCTTGTGAAGCTGCCCAGCCAGAGCTCTGATGTCAATCCCAAGCAGGCAGCTGTGAAGGGACACCAGCAAGCAGACCCAGGACGGGGATGTGCTCTGCAGCAGCCCCAGCAGCATCGCTGTGTCGGGGGCTGTGGAGAGAGTCCCTGGATGGAGACCCCAGCCCAGCTCAGGGGCCCTGGCATGGGGACACCCCCAGCCACTGCTGCTGTTGCTGGCAGAAATCCACTGCCAGGAGGCAGATCCCAACTTCTGCCCAGGTTTGCCACAAATAACAGTTCTCGCTCTGCTGCTCCACAGGGATCCAGAGTTCTCCCTGCCACGATGCATTGCACATGTTCATCTCCACTGATAGCTCTAGGTCTTGCTTGGACATTTAGGGAAGGAAAGATCATGTAGGAACAAGATTGTGTTGAGTCACTGTGGGTCTCACATTTGTCCCTTTTTGCTGGTATTAAGGTCATAAGCAGTGTTCCCATTTGGGAAAGTCTGCAGACACATGGAGTCCCTGCATGTGCAGGAACTGGATTGTGTTGCCCTGCTCTGGGGCTGGAGCAGTGGGCTCAGCCACCTTCCACGTCCCTGGGCTGAACACAGGATTTACACCTCTCTAAGGATTTTAGTTTCGGCTGCAGTCTCTTAATGGCCAAGCTGTTGCAATTACTGCCAGCCCACTTCTACCCAAACAGGATAATTTCATCCAATTTAAGGTCTCTCTTCTGACTGAGCCCCAAAAAGCAAAGACCCCCATGTCAGGACATGTGAGGGGACTGAAAAGGGGCAGCATTTGCAATGCCAGGGGGTAATTCCCAAACATCCCCCTCTGTGGCACACTCAAAAGGAGGGAGCTGCCAAACTCACTCCTTCCCCCATTTTTTTTTTCCTTTCCTAGCCTTTCCCTGATGCTGCCCCGTGGTGCCATGAAAGGTTTGTTTCCTTGTCTCCCAGCTACCACACAAACCCCTGGCTTCCCCTGGCCTTCCTGCTGACCCTGGCTCGGGCATGACTAATTCCTGCCATTCTGATTCAGGGGAAAAGTCCCACTCACAGAAATGCTGAGCAATGCCAGGGCTTGTCCTCCCATTCCCACCTCCCAGCACCTCCCGTGGCCTTTTGCCCAGCAGACCCTCCCCAGCCAACAGGCATTACCTGATGGGTGCATCCCTCCCAGGTAGGTGGGAATGGATGTAAATCATCCCCTGGAGTGGGGCAGGAGGAGCTGGGCGGTGCTGATCTGGCCTCCAGTGGAAGAACCAATCCAGCTGTTCCAGCTGTTCCCTTCTCCAAGTGCTCAGGTTTCAGCTGTTTCTGTTTCAGCCACTCTCTGTGCAGGGCTGAAGAGGAACAAATCCTTTGTATTTAACAGTGACCAGGGGTTTCATCTGTGGCACTTGAGAAGGGCTTGGAGGAGAGGTGGTACCTGCTGTAAAAACTCCTGCTTGTCCCATGTCCCTGGCTGCACAAAGGCAGAAGGAAGGGACTCAGTTCCTCAGAGGGATGGAGATCTGCATGAGTTTTTTTTCTGTTAAGGCCATGGCAGTGACACTGAGTGGTTTCTCTTAAGCTCAAAGCATCCACTGTGTGCTGAGGAATCCCAAGTTCAGGGCCAGCCAACAGAAGCTTTTTGTGCTTTCATGAACCTCTCTGCCTGTAAACCCTCACGTGTCCCAGAGGGACCTGCTCCAGACTCTGCCCTCCAGCCACCCCGTTCTGGCACCTCTCCTGCCCTCACCAGAGCCAGCTCTGCTTGGTGCCTGGAGGAGAAGTGGGAGGGAGGACCACAGCGTGCAGCAGGCTTTTGTGCTGAAGGAAACCAGAAACTGCTGTCTGGGCCAACCACAGGAACAAGATGCTGAGCTACCTCAACACAGAGTGGGTTTTTTTTTCTGGAGAGGCAGCACCGAGCTAGGGATGAGCTGGGCTTGGACAGGAGAACTGAGCCAGGGGCCAACAGCCAGGGATGAGCAATGGCAGGGGACAAGATTGGTTTGGTGGGAGCCCCTTTGCTTGCCCAAGAAAATTAAAAAAGATTGGGATGGGCCAAGAAAGTAGCACTGGGAAACCATGAGTGCCAGGAGGGTGGTGAGGGATATCCCCCTCTCAGGAAATATTAGAGACTGAAATCAGGGCAGTGATAGATAGAATGATCTGTGGGCACTGGCTCCGGCAGCCACCAGAGGAAGACTTGTCATCCGGCAGGAACCGCAGGAAATCTCACAATCACGAAGATTATTTCTGATGGAAGAGGCAGAAATATTTCCTCTTTGCTGCAGAAGTGACTGGCCAAGCTTTCAGTTCTCCATTTAGATGAGGGCCGGATGGGACTTCTTACTGGATGTTGATGAAATACTTTCCATTATAACTGGAATCGAGGACATTTCAATGAATAGTTTGTGTCTAAGGAATTAAATATAAGGAACTGGTGCAAAGGGAAAGTGAAAAATGACTAACAGTTTATTTCTCCTGCCATGGAAGACCCTTGTAAGCAGGGCAGGAAACACAGGAAATCAGAACCTTCAGCTTTGCAAACACAAATTTGAAAAATAGAAGAAAGGAAAAGCCTACTAGTTAGGAAGGGGAGCAAATAACCAAAGATGCCACTTCTTTTTGGCTTGCCTTTGCACAAACAAGACAAGAGATTGTGGTCAAGCACTCAACACAATCAAAATTTAGTGCACTCAGGTGAGAAAAGGGAAAAGAGAACAAATAAGTAAGTAAGAGGTAGGTAAGGCAGGTGTAAAACAGACAAAAAGGCCCCAAAGATATCCCTAACTTCCTCCTGAGCCAGGCTGTGGCCATCTGATTAGCAGCAAAAACTCACATGGTGTGGGAGAGGTACCAGAAAGCCAGAGGTGAGCAGATATGGCACTAGTCTTGCATGAGGGAAGCTCAGATGCTGCCTCAGCCTGCACCCAACCTTAGGGAAGCCTCTCCAGCTCTGCAGAGAGTTTTCCCCGAGGACAGAGCCCTGCTGCTGGCAGCAGGCCTCGTTTCTGCCCCTGAGTCAGGGCACAGGGATGTTCTCAGCACCTCTTTCAGGAGAGGCTCCCAGACAGCCGGGGCCCTGCACTTGACAGCACTGATGGGCTGACAGCAGCCTCTGCCTGCCCTGTGCACCAGCCTGAGGCAGCAGGAAACCACAGGCAGAAAAAAACTAAACTGCCAACAGCACCATCCCATTCAAGAGAAAGCCACATGGCATTGTGCAACATCCCTCTGGGAAGTGACACTCATTGATAAAAATTATGCACAGGGGTCCCGTGACTCGGGGTTAGGAGGAGAACCTGGGTCAGCTGCCAGCCTCACCCTGCAGACAGCTCTCACTGACCCTCATGAGTGTTGTTTTATGAGGGCAACTCAGCATTCAAAGTGGAATTCCTAGACCAGTCCCCACTGATACATTTTAAGTTCCAATTCCCAAATGTCCATTCCCCCTCCGAGGATCCTGTGCTGTGCCCTGCACGAGGAACCACAACCACAACCCAGAGCAGGGAGTTTTCTGTGGTCCTGGATCAAAGACAGCTCTTCTCTCTCCAGCTTAAGTGACTTCTGCACCAGACTGGTGCAGGAAGGAGAGAGAGAAGAGCAAGAACAACCTTTCCCCCTGCAGGATGCTGCAGCACACGCGGGGGGCTGGCATTCCAGAAAATCCCAAAGGGAGTGGTATTCTGCTTAATCCTTGGACTTGCAGCACCAAAGAGCAGCTGTAGAAAAGTTGGAGAGGTTAAGTCTCATTCTCTAAAGAATGCCTGCAAAAATGCTTTGACTGAGCACAGGCAATTATCCAGTCACAGGCAAGAATATTCTTTTCAATGAGAAGGAACAATTCCAGATGATATGGTCCCATGGGGATTGTGGCAGATGACTGGGCCCAAGGTCATTGACCTGTACAGAAACACCCTAAAGGGGGGCAGTTATATGGCAACAAATCTGGCAATATGTCTAAAGGTATCTTTAACAGTAAAGCATGTCCCAGCTCATCAAAAAGATTATTCATGTGAGTCATAAACTAACAGGGAAGTAGATAATACAGCATTCTTCTGGAGAAACTGGCTGCTCATGGCTTGGATGGGTGCCCTGTTCACTGGATGAAAAACTGGCTGGTGGCTGGGCCCAGAGAGTGGTGGGAATGGAGTGACATCCAGCCAGGGATGGTCACCAGTGGTCACCCAGGGATCAGACCTTGGGCAAGGGAGCTGGGGAAGAGCCCAGCTCTTGAGGAGAAAGCCCTGGGAGAAAAGGAGGCTCAGGGGGACCTTCTCTCTCTCTCTCTCTCTCCAAATCCCTCACAGGAGGTTGTAGCCAAGTCGGGTTCAGACTCTTCTCCTGGGTAACAATTGACAGAACAAGAGGAAATGGCCTCAGGTTGCACCAGTGGAGGTTTAAATTGGATACTAGGGGAAAACTCTTCACTGAAAGGGTTGTTAGCACTGGCATAGGCTGCTCAGGGCAGTGGTGGAGCCACCATCCCTGCAAGGATTTAAAAGATTTTCCAGCTTCTCCCCAGCTGTGCCACAAATACCCTCCTCACCCTTCTCCACTGGTCACAGCAGGGACACAGAGTTGGCTCCAAAGATCCATGGCTGGTGTCCTGATGGGAACCAGGCGGATGAAGGATGCTCCAGCCTCCCTGCACTTGCTGGAAACCTGCCCCAAAGCATCTGCATCTTTAATTTCTTCTTCTCTTTAAGGAATTTATTGACACGAGAGACAGGCCTGATAAGGTTCGATTTCCATTGTTTGCCACCCCCATTGCCACCGTGGGTGGACGGGTTCTGGGGGTTGCAGGAGGAATTTTTTGCATGAGACAAGGGAATTTCCAGGCACCTGGAGAATCAGTCCCATGGATGGCTCTCTCCAGGGGCCTGCCCAGGTCTGGAGGACAGTGCTAGACCTCATGGCCCCGCTCTCTCCTTCTGCAGCCACCCCTGTTTACCCACTTGATCCATATGGGACAAAAAAATCCAGCCCTCGAACCCCCCAAAGCCAACCTTTCTCCCATTGCCAGCCTCACCTGCCTCTTCCCTGCCTCAATCCCCATCCCACCAGGCAGGCAGCTGCCCAGGACATCCTTAAAGGTCATATTGGGCAGGGTCTGCTTCATTAAGCAGGTGAGCTGGAGGCATCAGCCTTGGCCCTTAAGGTTTCCCTGCCCTCCCAGGGGCTCCTGGACTGTTCCTGGGTCTCTGTGGGAATGCTGAGCCCTGATGTGACCTGTTTTCTCCCACAGGATTCACATCTCTCACTCCAGGTCGGCACAAGATGGTTTATTGACTCCATTGAGGGAGGGACTGGACAACGGAGGGGGCGATGGAAGGATAGGAGACAGAGCCAGCTCCATAAATGAATGACACAAGAACATACAGATAATTACAGGAAACAAATAAATAGAGCTTATAGAGAAGGCAGCTTCACGTGGAGGTGCTGATTGACTTCTCTTCCTTCAGGTACTTCTGGAACCAGCTCGCCTTTGGGTCCACACAGACTGTCCCCTTCTGCAGCTCCACACTTTGGGGAAAAGAGTATCCCACATTAGCTCAGGATTGGGGGGGATGGATCCCTGCCAGCCTGGAGGTGCCTGCAGCATCCTGCTCCCCACTTTCCCTGGAAGTGCTGACTTTTGGCAATCTCTGCAATTTTAACTTCCTTCCCGTTTTTTTTCTGGCTGGCAGCTGAAACAGGGGGGTTTGGGGCTATTTGGGATTAAGCAGCAAGGAGGGAGGGGAGTGCGAAGAGCCAGGTTAGGGCACCCCCACCTACAGAACCCTTTGCAGGGTGGCTCGTTTTGGGGGCTTCCCAAAGGCAGAACAACTGGTAGGAAAGGTGGGTGAGGGGTGGGAGGCCAGGGAGGAAGGCTGGGGGGGGGTTACTCACATCACAGCCTTGCGGGAGCAGAGGGAGGGCGTGTCCCGGTAGCTCTTGATTTTGGATGCTGGGATTTTGCGCCAGATGAACATGTCCTTGTGGCAGCACACGGAGTGGGACCTGCGGACTAAGAGGAGACAAGAGGTTTTAGTGCTCTCCCACGCCTGGGCTGAGGGGTGTGGGTGCTCCCCCTCGTGCTACAAGGGCTCTCCTCTTGCATCCTCAGTGGTGATATGATCCTCTCCAGGGAAGGAGCCCCCCATTCCTCTGCCTGTGGGAGGTTTGCTCAGCAGAGCTCCCCAGCTGGGGCTCTGGGGCTGAAGCCATCCCCCAAGTCTGTTTTTGCTCATTTTGAACCAGTCCAGGGCAGTCCTGTGCTGGGGCAGCTGGTCATGCCCCTCAGCCTCGCAGTCCTGTGGCAGGAGCAGGAGCTGAACCCTCATCCCCCTCCCAAATCCCATCAGTGGAGGGTCCGGGGCAGTCCTGGGGAAGGGCTGGGTGTCGGTACTTACGGGACATGCCCTGGCTTCCAGTCCAGGGGGCTGCCAGCAGCAGGGTGAGCAGGGCCAGGGAGCAGATCTTCATGTCCAACACAGGGCTGGGTCAGCACCAGCAGAAGGCAGCTCTCCCTGTCTCAGGCCACCGAGAGCTACCTGCCCCTCCTGCCTGCACCCTGGCACGATATATAACCCCTGCCAGGCGTTCCATGACAGCTCTGGACTCTCCCCACGGAAAGAACCACCTGGTAAAGGGCAAGTGGTGCAGGGAAATTCCTCTTTCCAGCCCCTTTGGCCACTGAGATACCCGAGGGCTGCTGGAAAGTGTGGCTAGTGATGTGCTGGGGCTGGGTGTCTGTTTTGAGTCTGGTTACCACCACCAGCAAACCACACAGGATGATGCTCACACTTGACGAGGTCCTGTGAGAGTTTCTTTTCAGAAACCACCCCTTGCCATCAGTTCTGAAGCCTCTCTTGCAATTTTGCACTGGGTGAGTGGCTCGGTGGGGGCTGGATTTGCCCCAGCCCACTCTGAGACCCACTGCTGGCTGCTCATCGTGGTGCCTATCCCTGTCTCAGGGTCCATCTTGTGGTATACTGGGATTTTGGGCTGTCAGTGGGGCCCCGACCAGGCATCCTCGAGGGGCTCCTCTGACAGAATTTGGGCCAGGGTTTTCCCCTCAGGATGGTGGATGAGGACCACGGGAAGCCCCCTCCTCATGGCTGTGCCCGCCTGTTGCTGCTCTCCCTGGTGCTTCCCCAAAGCACGGGCATGGTTTGGCCCCAGACTCACCCCGGCCATCCTCACAGAGACAGGGCTGTGGCTTCAGCTCTTCCTGGCTCCATACTGACCCCAGCACCTGGCTGGGAAAGCCGGCAGCAGGATCTGCCCACTCCCAAGACATTCACACAGACAGATGTTTGCTTGTGTGAGATCACGTTTAATTCTGTTCAGCGTGTCGTACAAAGAATAACGGTGGAGCTGCTCCCCCTGAACCCCTCGGCTGCTGCCAGGCTGGCAGGAGCAGCCTCTCTGCCTTGGAGTTCATGGGAACTGGCAGAGGATCCAGACCTGAGCATCCCACAGGGTCAGCACGCTCCGTCCTGGTGGGATGCCAGGGTTGGCAAAGGCCCCTTCCCTTCAGGGAGATGGGGAGGGTCATCCCAGAGGGGTGGGGAGGACGTCCCCGATGAGCTGCTCTGTCCCAGTGTGTCCCCACAACCACCTCTGCAAAGGGGTTGCCTTTGCAGTGTCCTCTATGGAGACGAGTCCCTGCTGCCTCTGGCCACCCCACTAGCTGGGGATGGAGAAGGAACTGACTTTGAAGCTCTGCTGGTACCTCTTCACCCACGCCCTGCTTGCCTGGGTGCAGATCTCCTTCCCGTTCCTCACTCTGAAACTGGGGCAGAGAGAAGATGTGGTTAGCGGGGTGGTCCTACAGGGACCCCAGAGATGAGTTTCCTAGAGGAGGCACAGAAGGTCAGGACTGGACTCACCAAAGCAAGGCAAGGGGTCTGGCAGGATCTAGAGGGTCTTTACCCCCAGGGTGGATTTAGGGTACTCACATCACAGCCTGGTGTGGGCACTCGGGGCTGGTGGGGTAACAGGCAATGACGTTGTCTCTCTTGATCCTTCTGGTCTGGAAGTTGAAGCAGCACTTGTCTGGCATGGCTGGAGCTCCTAGGGGGACAGCACAAGCTCGGCTTAGCCTGGAGACCCCCACCTCCCACCTCAGCCTTCCAGCTGTGGGAATGGCAGCTCTTTGGAAAGAGCCCACTTGCTCCCCATGCACGAGGCAAACCCATCCCCACAGTCCCAGGGTCTGTCCCTGTTCCCCATCCTGTGGGGATGATGGTGCTCACTCTGAGCCAGGCTCTGCCAGCACAGCGTGGTGAGGAGGAGGAGGAGGAGGGTGCAGACCATGCTGGCTGCCTTCACCATGGTGGATTGTGGCAGGGCTGCTCCGAGTGCCGGGGCTGGGGCTGCTCCGTGTGCTTTTATGGGGAGCAGGGGCCTGGCTTCCCCCAGGGCCAGCAGCTGCGTGAGCAGGGGGAGGACCTGGTCCCTCGCCACGTCCCAAAGCACAGAGGGTAAGTGATACTGATCCCCTCCCAGCACAACCCTGGGAAAAGAAAAATCTGTTCCCAGGACGGGCTTTTGGCATCCAACGGGCTTGGGATTTTTCCTGAGTCCTGCCTCCAGCATTAGGGCTGATGGACAGGCTGTTCCCAAAGTTTGGCTCTGCACCCTTATTCTCTGGGCAGGCTGTGTGCCCCATGGTGGGACCCCAGGGTGGGTGAGAGAGCTGGGGGTCTCCCTTGGATGGGACAAGGGACAGGCACAGCATCCAGCAGGGTCCCTGGCAGCCCCACACACTCCCAACAGTCCATGTCCTCCCCCTGCACCGTGAAATTTTGTATTCTATTGCTTTGCATCCCGGTCCAGGGGACCAACAGTCAAATAAGCCCCCTCCAAAAAGAAATAAAAAAGCCTCAGAGAAAAAAAAAAACCACAGAGAAGCAGCTTCTGTTTGGTTGCATCAGGCACAGAAACATCTCTGTGCTGGTTTTGGGGGTGTTTGGGGCCCACAGGGACGGGGGGAGGACGGGCAGGTGGTTCCACTTCCCTCCGCCTGGTGCCAAAGCTGCAGCTCATGTTCTTGGCTGTGCTGAGCTGGGAAAGGCAGAGGCCAGTTTGGGGCTTCCCTCATGGATTTTGCCTGGTTGCAGCTGTCAAAAAAGCTCCTTCTCCCCCCAGCCCCTGCAAGCCCCAGGGCGCATCCCAGCTGCCGGCAGCTGGCGGATGGTGGGAAGCAGTGGGGAGATGCAGACACACATCCCTGCCAGCCTGGCTGTCCGAGCAGCCACATCCCACCACGTGGGGCTGGGAATGCACCCTGTGGCATTCTGGACCCCCTGGGCTGTACTGCAGCCCTGATGTGGGGAAGACATGGGGTGCTGATCCAGGTAGGCTCCTGCCTGGGTGAGAATGGGGACCACCTCCATGGTTGGACCACGTGTAACCTTCCATTTGCTCTTCTCCAAGGCCATTTCTCAGAAATCAGCCTCAGTTTTCTTGGGGGGGACATGTGGGATAACAGTGAGGTGCAGGAAGTGGGGTGGGGTGATGCCCCAGGGCTGTCGGGTGCAGGCAAAGGGGTTTGTGTTTGTCTGGCGGAGCAGAGCACCTTCCACCATCACCCAAACTCCCAGCTAATCTCTCCTCAGGGAGCAGAGGAAAGCGGATGAGAGCTGGTTCTGGTCCGGCACAGCTGCCTGGCTTGCCTTTCCCTTACTGGATCCATCCTTTCCCTCATCCCTGTTCTTACCCCCACGCACCGAGGAGCTCATCTACGGGCAGGAAATATTCCCCGCAAGAAAAAAATGAAACATAAGGAAAATCAAACAGCATTTATTAGTCTGGGAAAAACACCTTTTAAAGGTTTCCTTGGTGAAATACTGGGATGCAGCAGGCCAAAGAAGCCCAGGAATGCCATTCCCAGCATGTGCAGCATCCCTCTGTCCTGCCCTCAGGCACTGGTGCTGGCCCCGTGGCATGAGCGGACCCTTCGGACAGGGGATTTTGGAGCACGTGATCCGGGCTGAAAAACACCTTTTTCCTCGCTTTTTCCCCCTTGTTTCATGGGGAACTCCTTGCCAGCACTCCCTTCGGCTCCGTGCTTGGCTGCAGAGGGGTTTGCCTTTGCAGAACAGACAGGACAGATCCCCCTCCTGCGCTGGGGGAGGTGGCAAATCTGGGGGCTGGCAGAGGCATTTAGGACCCCACTGGGGGTCGAGCTTTCATTGCCCCTTCCCAAAAATTTGCAGGTGTTCCAAACCTCCCTCTTCTGGGTGGGGTGAGGGTGCGGACGCTGCTGCCCCGTGGCTGCTCCCCACTGCTCCTCATCCCTGAGCAGGAAACAGAGCAGCTCCTGGGGAAACTCTGACAGGAGCGTGGGTGCTTTAATCACCCTCCGTGCTCAGAGCCAGCCTGGCCGAGCTCTGCCAGGGGGGAGCTGCTGGGCACACCGGGACAGCCGCTCGGCAGCACAAGCCCCCCCTGGAAGCGCCGCTCGCCCCCGGGTGAGAGCGGCTTTCCCAGCCGCGTGTTGATGCTGCGGCACTTCTCGTTTCAGCCGATCAATAACCCCGCAGGAGGAAGATCTGAGTGCAGCGCCCGCGGGACGGGGCGGCTGCTGCAGCTGGGGCAGCCAAAGTCACGACCGTGATCAAAGCAGCTTTTGCCGGGTCAGGTCTGCTTCCATAAGGGATTTGTTTGATTTATTCTTCTCCCTTTTAAGTCTCGGTCAGATCAGCTTTTCCATTATCTTGCCGGGGCTGATGTTGAGATAACCACTGAATTCACACCCTCTGTGTGCTGTTTCCTTTTTTTAAGTCCTTGTCCCCCAGGACTTCCCCAGCTGCTTGAAGGGATGGGTTATATTGGGATGGGTCACCCACTCCTGTCCCCAGGAAGAGGTGGCTCACAATTCTCCCCTGCCACCCACATCCCTGCAGAGCCCAACTGGCTCCTGCCCAGATGCCATCACTTCCCTAAAAAGCAGTGGAGGGTTTTTTTTTTTTTTTTAAATTTTATTCCAAGGTTGGAAACCCCAGTGGGTATCTGGATTTCATCCCCAAAGCTGCTCACTCAGGTGGGAGCAGGTTGTGCAGCCCCTGAGGTACCTGGTACCCTGAGGCTGTGGGGATGAGCCCATCTCCATCTCCTGCTGTTGGAAGCTGCAAACATATAGAAATAAGATGGAATTTGTGCTGCCATCCTTCTCCAGAGGAGATTTCACTGGGAAAGGCATGGCTATCCCCCAGTTTCAGCCATGGGAGCAGTGCTGGGCATGCCACAGACATTGCTGGAAGAAGCTGCAGGTCCCCTCTTGATTTTGGTGCCAGCACCACCCCTCCTTTGCCCAGCTGCCAGTGCCCTACATCCCACTGGCCCAGCCACAGGGAAAGCAGTCCCAAAAGGAAGGGTTTTCAACCCGAAGCAGTGTGTGTAGAGGTGCTCAGCACACCCACGGCAGAGCTGATCCTGAAGGTGAAAAGCTCTCATCCAGGATGACAATCCCTCTTCCCATCACCAGAGAGAAGGGGCTTTGTGGGACCCCTGCTGTGCCGTTCAGGA